TCTAACTTATATTAAAAATATGTATATAAGATTAAATACGCCCTTACCCTCAAGTGCTGGTGTCGAGAGATTATTTAAAAAGGCAAAACTTATACTTTCTGATCGTCGCATAGACTTGTGGATGATAATATTGAAAAGATTTTATTATTAAAATGCAACAAATTACCATAAATATTTATTTTTATTACATAAATTTTTTTATAATCATAACTAACTATATTTTAATATTTATAAATGTTGATTTTTATATATTTACTATACAATAACATTATAAGCAAAAAATAAAAAATTTGTTTGTAAATTTTTTTTATAAAAAGTAGCTAAAGCTACTTTTAGAAAATAGTAGCTAATAGCGAGCTACTTTTTTGACAAATAGCGATAGCGGTAACGCGCTACTTTTTTTAACAAATAGCGATAGCGGTAGCGCGCTACTTTTAAAAGTAACGTTTAACAACTCTGTTCATAACCAATAATTAAGAAGATAAGCAAGTATATTCAAATATTTAAATATTCTTACCCTAACCTATTTATAATCTCCAATCCTAAAAATATCTCTTTATTTTTTTTACCTCCCTTAATGAATTTATTTATCACTAAATTTTATTATCTCATTCTTTTCTTTCTATCTTATCTATTAACCACTATTTCTCAAAATCTTATCAATTCCTTTAATTTAATTTTTATTATTTTTATAATATAATAATTTATACCTTCTTTCCCCCCCCCCTTTTTTTAATCTTATTTTTTAATTACCTTACAATTAATTAACCTTAATCTTAATAACATTACATTCATCATATTATTTTTTAACTTTTAGAATATCATAAAAGGCTTGATAAGTCCCCCAAAAAATTTTTCTGATGATAGCCAAACCTTATCAATTCCTTTAATTTAATTTTTATTATTTTTATAATATAATAATTTATACCTTCTTTTTTCCCCTCTTTTTTAATCCTATTTTTTAATTACCTTACAATTAATTAACCTTAATCTTAATAACATTACATTCATCATGTTATTTTTTAACTTTTAGAATATCATAATAGGCTTGATAAGTCCCCCAAAATTTTTTTTTGATGATAGCCCTCCAACTACTAGAAATATGCATCTAATATTGACCCATCTACCGGTTTTACATTATTTTAATGTTTGTTTAATTTCAACAATAGTTTATTTATATTTTTGCCTGATTTCTTTATTTGTCTAGGCTAACCCTAATCCCTCACATTGCTACAAAACATGATGAATCTATTATAAAAATAAGCAAAGAAAATAATGACGATTAAACAAACGCCTTACCCGTTCTAGAGTTACTGGTAGACAAAATAATAAAGAACTACGCTTGAAATGAAATCATCTAGAGGTTTATTTTGTTTTTTTTATCTTATGTTTTATATCTATGTTTATTTTATTTTCACCCAGTTCTCCAAATGATATTTCTATCACCACTACCACAATCACTATGCCTCCGCCTATTTTTTAACAAATATAAACATTTAATTCTGTACTATCATTCACTTCACTAGGAGTTAAAAATATTACTTTATCCGATTCTCTGAGAAACTTTCATGAATATTTAGAGGAATGTTCAAACTTGAATGTACAGTACGGCCAATTTTATCAACTTTATTAATGGAAAAATATGCAGTAATTCTGTCGTGGCCTTTAAAACAATACTTACGACCGTTTTATGATTGAGTTAACATTGTCGTTCATGATTCTATTTTAGAAGGGGATACCAATGCTGCATTGACAGAAATATCGTTTTGCGTGTTCAAACTTGAATGTACAGTACGCCCAATTTCATCAACTTTATTAATGGAAAAATATGCAGTAGTTCTGTCGTGGCCTTTATAACAATACTTACGACCGTTTTATGGTTTAGTTAACATTGTCGTTCATGATTCTATTTTAGAGGGGGATACCAATGCTGACATTGACATAAATATCGTTTGCGTTCATAGGCATATCATCTTTATCAGTACGTATTGTGTTTTGTACACTGCTTTGGTAATCCGTCATTACTTTCATCTACAACCCTAAATGATATAAAATTATACATTAATTATTTCCTCTCCAGACAACCGCCAAGATTTATTTTGTCACTTTTTCCATCAAAAATTAAAATGTCAATAAGGATTTGCTCTTAATTTTATCAAATACATAATAAATATTCCTCATTATTTTTTAAAAAAATTATCCTAAATTAACATGTTAATAAAAAAAAATATCTTAAAAAATATATAAATAATTTGCATATAAGTTTCATTAGTGTTTAATGGCATTTTTGTAATTTAAATAGACAGCATTTTTTTTTACTTAACATAAAAAAATAAATATCCCTTATCAAATTCTTTGACAAATAATTTCAGAAATGCAAGACATACATTAAATTTATCTGAAAAAACAACAATAACCTTATATAATAAACAACATTTTTTTAGATATAATTTTAATTGATCATATTACAAAAAAGTATAAGAGTCGGTTATTTTTATTTTATTTGTCATGATTCTCTAATAAGTGGTTTCCCAGGCCTTCCCAGTTTCCCTTAATATCGGAATTTTAATGTTTTTTTTTCCATATTTGACTAATTGGTAAATCAGATATTTCCCGTTCATGTAAAATTTAACTATCTCCAAGGCGGGAAAAAATTTTCAAAATTATTATGGGTAGGACTAGGCTTGGAACCTCAAAATTAATATTAGCTTGCACGTGACTTGCGAATATCTTTTACAAATTATTAAGGGTTGAGCTGGGCTTGATAAACTTTTTTAAAATTATAAAATCTTAGATGCTTCCTAATATTGTGAGCTTGAACCTGGCATGACATCTATCGTAAAAAATGAATAAAAATCTCATTCTCCCTCATTTTTGACTGGCTTTCTACTAGTTATAATAGATAAAGGATTGTAAAAAAGAAACGTGGAGCACAAAATATTTATGAAGCTCATTATCCATCTATTCAAATCTCACGTATATTTCAATTCAGGGGCGTCGCTAGCCTTTACAATCTAAGGGGACTCAACTAAAAAAATTTCTATGAGGCTTCGCCCCCATATTCCTAAATTTGCGTCCACTTTTGCCCGGCCTTCGGCCGGGTTTTATATTAATATATTATATTTTTTTAAATTTGCTAACTCTGAACAATTATTCTGAATTTCATATTTTGTCATTTATTATATAATGTATATAAAATAAACTCTCATATAAATAACTAAACAATATAAGACATTTCTAAAAATAATATTTTTTAATACAAAATCTATTTATTACAGTATAAAATATTTTCGATTGCTCATATCAAAAAAATTTGCGTCTAAAGAATTACAAGTGATAAAAAAGTTTAATTAATTCATACATATGCCTCAATTGGTAAAGGAAAAACCACATAATATAATATAATTATTAGCAACTTACATTGACAAAAGGTCATGGAACTAATATAACTCCTATTTTAGACAATTATTTATAGAATGGACTAATAAGGATAAGGAAATATTCATAGGCCTAACCAAATCATAAAACTATATTTTGGTTAGAGCTTCCACTTAGATGACATGTTGGAAGCTAGACAAGTAATGAGAAAATTTTTGTGAGATATTAAATTTCCCTAAGATTATCATTATCTTCCATTTTTAATGATATAAACGATTAAACAGTTGACCATTATTGCTTATCTAAAATATGCAATCATATGCTCTCAGCAGCTGTAGAAATAACCTTAACGTACATAGCCACACAAATAATAGATTCTGGTTAATTTGCAGCAATGATATATATAACTATAGATTGACGATCATGCATAAAAAAACGTCCACCTATTGAAATCAGCTGTAGCGCCATTTTGTAGCTTGTACGTTGATCAAATGCCTCAATAATGATAATAATTTTTAAAAATTTAACAATTTTACTAATAATTTTTAATGTAATTATGTAAAATAATCAAATGAATCCTAACCTCAACTGATCTTCAATTAAATTACATGGGTATTCTCTAAAATAAAAAAACTCAACATTTAATCCAATAGTAGTACATAATATCATTAAATTACTTTCACCCAGAAATTATTCAGAAACATAGATTGCTACAACATCACTGAAACAAAAATCACCAAAATTATACCCATACAAAATATTCCATACTTATATCTAATACACCCTCAAATATTCAACCAAATAAGGTCCACTGCCTATATATAATTGCCAAAAAAACTTATCACACAGATTCCTTTGACTCAGTCAAGAAAATACATCTTTCAATCATAGTTTTAAGTTAATTTATCTATTTGATTAATATTATTATAAAAATAAATTTATTTTTAAACATTCCTCAATTATTTAACCCCCAATCATTTATTAGAATATCTAATTTATTTTATACATATTAATTGCAAATATCAAAATCATTTATATTTTTATATATATTTGTTAATTTTTTTAATAAAATTAGTTTTTATAATTTTATCAAATTCACTTGATGTTTCATTAAAAATCTTATTATCCACTTATTGTTCATTTATGGAATCCTTATTATTAAATATAATAATATTTTATGATTCATATCTTATTAATAAATAAAAATGATGTACTTATTATTATTGTAGTTGCTGGTACTTTTAATTTTAGGTAAGTAATTTATACCTTAAAATAATAATCAAAATTTATACAAAAAAAGAGATCTGTATAGATATAATTAAATAAAATCTACAATACTCTAAAAGTAGATGAGGATTAATTAATTATGTTAAGAAAATAAGATTTTATAAAAAAATATCCTGTCAATTAAAAATTATTTTGGATTATGTGTTCTAGATGAAATAAGTTAAACTATCTTAAAAGATGGGTTGAGAGCTCATCTTACTTAATTTTTATTGTAATAATCATTTATAATTTTTTTTGTTTTAATTATTTCATCTTAATTATAAATGACAAATGAAAACATCTTTTATTTTTTTTTCAATAAAAACATAGTGTAATAATAACATTTTTTGCATGAGTTTAAATTATTATATAAATCATTTAAATAAGGTTTATACAATAAATATATAAAAATATAGAGTACACTTTAATAAACAAAATGTATTTTTAACAATGTGATGATTCACATTCATATTATCTTTGATTATAAACATTCATCCTTTTTGATTCTATCATCACCTATAAAAAATAAAATATATTTACATTAGCATAGATTATATATAATATCATAATTTTTATAATATGTCTTATATAAGGCCTGTTCTTTATACAATATAATTTTTAAAAAATAAAAGAAGATATAAATATTAATTTACATGACTTATTGATTATTAAATTGTATTGCTTTTGTAAGATTTTGCCTCATACCAGTTCTCAATTCCTGGTTTCTCAAGTCAGCAAAATGAAAAAATCTAATATTTAAATATCTTTAAAAAAATAGTATAAAACTAATAAATGATTACCTTTGAACAATTAATTTTACAAGAATTTGAAAATGGCTGTAACCAATCTCATGTTCATTAATATGTTCAGTAAGATCAATAAAAATATTTGTACCAATTATTGTGGAAAAAACCAACACTTCCATTTTTTTAATAATATTTTTACGTTTAATATCATTTTGATAAGTTCTAAATGAACTTTCACAAATTCGGCATAATATAGACATACTAGATGAAGGAATCACTAACCCCCCATTATTTTTAAAATTTATGAGCATATTATTATCAATATATGAATCACTGACCATTGCATTAATGCAAACATCACATCGTACCTTTTTTTCTTTAATAAGTTGTTGTACTATATATCCCGAAATATAAGTTGTTACATTATCTAAATATAATGATAATTTTGGGATATGAGGATTTGTTTGGCTAAAATAATAAGATAATGCCTGGGGTATTATTGGATTTGAAATAGTTTTGATAGAATTAAAATCATCGTCATGATTATTTTGAAAATTTGAACATATTAATTGAGTATTATCTAAGGAAATGCAATTTCCTGTAATTGTAGCATCCAATTTTGCCATTAAGGAAATGCGAACAGCAGATCGAACCTGATATGCTGATGGATTATCATTAAATCCACCTCTGCTACGAATACTACAAAAATATAATTCTAGGTGGTCTTGAGAGGTTTTATATGTTAAAAAGAACCTTAAAAAATTGTTATATTATAGCTTTATGAATAACTCTTGTTATAAATTAAATATAATACTTCATTTTTGGGGTTTCCCCAGTTAATAATTCCTTCCCCATTTCCAGGATGCTTTTCATAGAAAGAATTAACCCTTCTACACATGTTTTCTTATTAGACTTATAGACATAAGTTCCATTTGTTAACTTGAGTGATTTTAAAGTTTTAATGCACTTGTCAAAATGATTTTCATAATCTGCAATTGTATTATTATATAAAGGGGCTTTATATCCTTTACCAAGACAATTTCTTGTATTAAGATAATCAAACATTCTATAAGTTATTCATAAATTTATATCATAATTTTTATTTTACTGATCTATCATCAATATAAAATTAATTGTACCATCATAATTTTCAAATCCAGGAATCTCCTGATGCTGGGCAAAAAGAAGGCTATTTGCAACAGATGCACTAAAAACTTGAACAGCAAGTTTTACCTTAAAAAATATTTAATAATTATATATTTATTATCAAACTTTCATTTTTTGTTTTTGGAAAGCAATATGTGCTTTGCACAATTTATTTGCAGCACGTAAACCTTCGCACTCCTGCAATTTGTGTAAATTTTGTATATGCTTCCAATCTATTAACTATAAATACAAAATAAATATTTAACCAAATTTAGCTAGCTACCTCTCCATTTGATTCATTTATTAAAATTTCCTCCTCCGCTAATAGATTTCTAAGTAATTTGAGCATATGACAAACATCTAGTAACATGTATATTTTTTCTGATTCATAAAATTCCAGCTCAATATATGGAATGATATTATCAGGATCCATACTAACACCAAGCAGTTTGCTCATTTTTTTATTAACAGCACAACCATCACATACTATGGCCTTACAGATAACTCCTGTTTCATTTATATTGAACAATGCAACTCTCACTAAATTAGCTAGGATATCTGAATTCATTTGTGAAACTAGAAAATAGGCTATTGGCATTTTCCAGCTGCTATTAAGACATGTAGCCATAAGAAACAGTGCCTTTGTTGCTTCTGGACAAGATTTATCTTCCTTTGTTGATTTTGTCCCATCACCTAAATCAACATAACCATGATATTCTGCTTTGTGGGGGTCATAATCTATTTGTGTTTTAATATGCATTTCATCAAGGCTAAGTACACAATATAACTGCTTTTCTGATTTTTTTTGGTAGCTTTTAATTTGGGTAAATGAAATAGAAAGGAAACCTTTATTTAATTTAATTTATTTTTTTTTAAATTATTATAATAAACCTGGCATGATTTCAATCTTGCTACTCCATGCCCTTAATGTGGATTCCGAAGGCATACAAAAGTGTGATTTGAGATATCTGTAAGCCTTAGGTGAATAAAAATGCATAGTCAATGCAAATTGACGGAATTCACTTGTATATATTTTTTTTTGTGGGTTTGAGATGCCTCCACTGTGTATATGTGTTTTAAGGAATATAGCAGATGTCCCTGTAAAGTGCCTGTCTATAATATTTTCGACATCATCTGATAACAAATTTTCATCTTTTAGTGAAGTGATTATTGTTTGTAAATTGATTATTTTATTTTTTCCTCTTTTTGAGCTCCTATAATAAGCATGTGCTCTTTTTTTTAAGCGTTTAATTATAGTCTCTTGGTAAATAATTTTTCTTTTTAATGTTTCATATGTCGCGGAATAATTATGATCATTTGTTATATGTATAATTGGATCTTTTTCATATAATATATCACTTTTTAATGGTGTTTGTATATTTGAATAAACATTCGTTATCTAAAAAGTATATATTTTAAAATATTGTTTTAACTATGTAATGATATTGTTAACATACATCATGAAGTGGCTTAGATATACTAAATATCGATGGAATAGAATCTTCCTTCAATAAAATCTTTCCAGATATAGTTTGAATGAAACAAGTATTTTTAAAATGCCTTCCACAAATAATACTATATTTATTAGGCATAAAATTTTTTCTATTTATAGCATGTAACCATTTTTCCAATAATTCTTTGGATTTTAATGGAAATCTATATTTAAAAATAGGTGAATAATAATGAGTAAAATATAAGATATATTTATGACATTGATACAAAGATAGATAGTATATAACAATCAATATTAATATCAGATCAGTTATTAGTAATATAGTATTGAATCAGTGAAAATTTGTTGATTGGCAGAGCCTCTATTAATATATATATGGTTTACATTTCTTACAAATATTTAAAAATGAAACTGTATCATAGTAAATATGTATTTTAAAAATGGCTAACTTAATATTTTATCCAGAAAAATATTTAGGCAAAGTTCAAAATAGAAATCTTATCAACTCAAGAGGAAGAAGCATTATTTGTCCTAGCAGTAAAAATGAGAAAACTTTATATTTTTACTAAATAAGGATTTTTTTTCAATATTTGTAGCTTATTAATGCTTTATGTAATAAATATGTTGCATATAAAAAATAATATATATACTTATGATAGAAATATGTGTATTAGATTCCATTTTATTTGTTTTATTACAATTATGAACACAGCACACTCCCATTATCTAAATAAAATAATAAATGATAGTGATATTAAAAGATCTGTTTTGCATGTATCCTAAAATGCATTAACATAAGATTTATAAATCCGTGCAGAATTAAGTTAAACTATATTTTAAAAAATTAAAAGGTGGGTTAGTCTTAGATTCATTTTTTAAATATAATCACCTAGTCCACATTCATAAAAAAAGTCTTATGAAAATTTAAGAATAAAAGATACTATAAAATATTATATCATAAATCGAAACCTTTAAAACTAAATTATCGTAGTAGACTTGTTTTCTATATATTAATATTTCTTGCTGACAAATAATGGATAACCAAACTACAAAATGGCGCTACAGCTGATTACAATGTGTGGACACTTTTATAATGCATTGAATGAATGAATCGTCAATCTATAGTTATATATATCATTGATTTGCAGTCATAGCTATGACACTCACGATGTTAACTCATATCAGAATTTATTATGTTAAATACATTAAAAATTAAAACACTAAAAATCTTTAGAAGAAATTATGCAAATAATATGAAGCCTTAAGTTATTTACACAGCAATTATGCCATATTATAGATGAAACATTTTGTAACTATAAAATAAGAACCAGAATGATATGATAAAACAATTAAGATTTTATATATTGTAGCACCACCTTGGTTAATGATGCTTGGTACCTTAAGGTACCATCTATCAAATTTGAATTTTGTTCATTTTTCATTTGGATAGGCACTACCGAATATATTTATAATATATATTTGAAAAATCGTGATTTTTGGAAAGCCTCTATGGCCTAGTAGGCAAGAGCTTGGTTTACTTATCCCATGCTCCCGGGTTCGAATCCCAGGAATGATCATGTTTTTTTTCTTATTCTAACTTGGTGGTTCCATCCTTGGGGGGATAATATATAGGAGGCCGGACTCGACCACGTGATTCCGTATTAATATATTAAATAATAGGGATCTTATTACATTTTAATAAATTTTGGTCGGTATTTAGCAAATTAGGTTGGTATTTAGAATATTTCCATGCATTCACTTGGTAGTAAGCATCATAAACCCACCACCTTGGTATATTATATCTTAAAATAATAGTTATCAAAAATATACTTGTATTAAAAATTTAACTCAAAACTGTTTTTTGAAAAAGTAAAAATAGCTTTCCTAAAAACACGTAAAAAAAGAGAAGAAAAGATATCAAATTTATTACATCTATTGCAGGATGAATTATAAAATGTTTAATTTTTAAAATTATTTATAACTAAATAGATGGCGTTAAATAATTGAATGCAAATTGATTATATTTATTATCAACAAAACCATTTATTAGTAAAATTTATTATAATATTAACTGTAATATATCATATAACTGTCAAATACTTCTATAAAGTGACATATTATTTAATATTTTATAAACAACTGTATATAGTAGAGAATTAAAGAAATCTCTTATACTTATTTGGACATTGTAAATATTTTTAGAAATAGGTGTAATAATAAAATTTAAAAATAAATATAGTTGATTAGTCATTTTGAACTCGGCTAATTACAATATTAAATTTGTTAATTTTCAAACAATATATGATTGCTTTTATTTAATTAAGGTTATATAATAATTTAGATAATAAAAGTCAATTAAACTTCAACTGTTAAAGCTAAATTAATATTTAATGAGTTATTGATATTATATTTTTAATACAGAATTTGATTGCAAACTAACATAGTGAACATATAATTTATATGTATTAATCTAATCTAATAATTAAAATAGTATTCATTAAATAAAAATTTAAACAGTTTTATTAATTTCGAAATAATAAAATTAAATCTATATATTACTTAATGGATTTATAAAAGAAATCATTCAGGGGGCAATTAAAAAAATATTTTTTTAGTTCAAAAGGATATTAAGGAGCCATTAAAAAAAATTTTTTACTTCAGGGGGCTATTCAAATTTTTCAGGGTGCTCAAGCCCCTGCGCGCCTCCTCCCCCCTAGTGACCCCACTGTTTTAATTAGGATATTTATAAGATATTTTTGCAAATTAAATATAAATAATTTGTTCGGCATTGTCTATTAATAAAATCAGTATATTTTGAATGTCAGGTTGTACCTTAACCAAGAATGGGTCTTAGGCACCAAATGGGGTGTTTAATCTATATTATGATAAGATTAGTTCTATGAAGACTCTTGAGACTAATAATAATATTAGTTGAATAACATGAATTTTAAAATATGAATTATTCAATAATAATATTAGATAAATAAATTGTTATAAATAAATTAATAATTTATATAATATTTTTCTTCATAAAATTTCCTCTTAGGAAAATTTAATTAGATGAGAGAAATAATTCCAAATCCATTATTTAAAAAATTGTGAAATTGTCGATGGACTCTTCAATTAAGATAGTCCGTATGTTGGCATAGGGCATTGCCCATTGCCCTTATTCTGATTGCCTTTCCCTTTTAATCATTAGTGTATTTCTGAACCTACGAATATTTGACTAATAGTATTATCCATATAATTAATTGATTCTATATTTTATATTCTAATTATTTTCATATTGGTTCAGCTTTGGTACTTAATAAGTTAAGTTAATAATTACTAAAATTTATTTAACATATATTTTGTCTAGAAATTATTTTTGTTTGACAATGACACTCATATATTTATATATTATCTTTTTTAGAATTTCTAAGAACCTATTTTATCCATTTATATCATAAAACGATCTAGTTTACTTTTTAAAGGTTTAATAATATATAGAAATTTTTAATCTGGGATATTTTTTTGTTTTACCATTTCTTATAAGACTTAATAATATCAGTATCATTTTATTCACCTAAGTTTAACTATTTATTATTATGAATATTTTCTTCTATTGGGGTTGGACTCCCTTGGTAGAGTCAACAACATATGGCTTGCCAAATAAATTTATTTTACTTATATATTATGATGCTCAACCGACATTGAATTCAATCCAGATCAATAGGGTAAGTTAGCTAGCATTTTTCTAAACTCATGGGATTTTTATCGCACTAAATAATAAATAATCACAAATATATTACATATGACTATTTTAAATTTAATATAAATAAGGAACAGATGATGTTTTCTCCAACTAATTATACATAGTGTGGTTTATATATGCACCTCTCTGGTTATTTAGTAGTAATGCAAGTAAGATTTAATAATGTGATTATAAAAGATAAAGAGAAATATAAAATACTAAAACAAAGTATTTTATAGAAGCCATGTTAAATTAAATAAGGTTAATATAAGAGTTGAATAGAAATGACTGTCTCATGATGATATAATATTAAATCATTCCATTTGAATAGGAGATACTAGTTAACAAAAACAGTATCAATCTAAATTTCCCAATTTTTTAAATTTAAATTTCCCGGAGAAATTTGAAATGCAATAAATTTATTATTAATGTTCATATAAATTTTATAACATTGTTTGGTATATAGTATAAATTTATAATTTTAACAATATAGATATTTTTTGTGATGTATAATATTTTAACAAATATGCAATAATAATTTGTGGGTTTAATAATATATAATAATAATAAAATAACTAATATATATTTATTCTTATGTCAACATTTGAAAGATGCATTTTGATTTAAAAAACAATATAATATAGCAAAAGTGCGAGAAAGACACTATCTAGGTAAAATGTTACAAAATTTTATTTTTCAAGTAAATTACCCTTTTCAAATAAAATAATATTACAAACAGTTTTATAAACAATGTTAATTTTTGGATTTCTCATAAAGTTATAAGGAATTTTTTTTGATGATATCTAATATTTAAAAAAAAATTAACAATAATCAATTTAATTCTTTCACGATTCACCCCCTGAGGACATTTATATATATATATTTATAACAAGTAAATATAATTTGCCTTGATCAATTTTAACTCTGTTGCAATCATATATTTAGGTCTAAGTGGTTGTAGAATCTTTTCACTTGCTTCAGCCATGCTAGAGGTTCATCTATCAAAATGTGCAAAAAAAATAAATCTTATTTGTAATATATTGTGAAGGCTGTATAAGAATTGCCTAATAGTATATCGAAATATCCCAGAAAAAAAAACTTGACATATTAACCCGTGAAAAATATCCCTACCTAAAAAATCGAAAGGAAAAAGAAGCTGCGGAAAAAAAAATTAGAAGTAAAATATAATAAAAATCCTCCGAACACAATAATTAATTTCTTATTTTTAATTAAGCATGTATTTTCGGTGTTCATATATTTCGACAAGATGTTGACCTAATATATTTATTTTTAGAAATAACGATAGTAATTAACTGATTTAATGGAGATTGCATAACAAATTATATGAAAAATTATTTTTTGGATCAAATGATTTTATTATAATTTATTTTATTGACTCTAAAAATAAAAATTTATATTTAAAATATTATAAAAAAAATCGAAGTTGAACAATATAATTTAATCTTTATAATTAAATTTAAATATATAAATTATTAAGATAATTGTTGAGTGTATCTATTCTCTTATGGTATGCTAAAATAGTTCTGATGGGTGTATTCGTCCATAAATTTTTTAGGAGAGTCATTACTTTTCTACGCGACTTGCAGTTTTGTCCTTTTTCTACTACATTCTTAGAAGAAATGCTAGTCTATCAAAAACTCAAACAAATTGCTAAACTGTTTACTATGTTCAAATTCTTGTTCCAATACGTCTTACGATGAGTAGATTAATTCAAATGATAAACTCATTACTGCCTCCTGGATGCACACATGTGGATTTAGATAAAGACAATTTTTTAAAAATATTTAAAATTGAGGCATATTCTTGTGAGATCTATTTTCAAATAGGGCTCCTTAATTGCTTTACCAATAAGATCAAATAAACCTTTTTGTAGGCAGGTTGTAGTTTTGGAGTAGACTGTAAGCTGCAGTTACAGTAAAAAAAAGGGTGATAAAATATTTTAATTTACAAGCTCACTTATATTCATAGACTTTTATTAATATAGACTGCTCAACGATTTTAAAAAACCGTCTTTAAAATAATCGCCATTTGCAAAGAACAACCTTTATAAATCTATGTTTATATGATTTTAAGGTTAAATATTTCATATACTAAGGAAATTATTTTATATTTAATTTATGTCGCATATAAATATAAATTGCAAGACATAAAATTTTCAAAAAGATACAATATAAAAATAATTAACTATTGTTTAAATTCATATATAAATGCAAAAAATTAATTATATATATAAAACAATTTTCATAATAATAATATATAATAAGAAAATAAAGTAACAAGAAAATTTCCGCAAGAGGGAGAATTTTTAAAAAATTTAATTTGTATATTTTTTATATTACAAAAATAGCGATTTAATTTACAGCAGAATATGAATATATATTTTATAATATAAAAATATAAATTTAAAATTTATGTAAAATTTTCTAAATTTTTTGGAAAAATAAATAGATATAAATTAATAAATTACAAAATGAGAGGAAAAAAAATAACCCCATATAATTCATGAAAACAAAAAATAAAAAAAAGGAAATTAAGTTTTATAAAATAATAAAAAAATGTTATTGGTCTAAAATTATTAAATTTTTAATTAATTTGTTTATCATATTTATTTTATGAAATAAAATATTTATAGTTTAATTAATATTTACAAATAATTAAGGGATCCTAATTCCTGACTTAGCCTTTGGGTTTAAAAATCTTTTTTATCTGCATGGGTCCACTTAATTTTTATTTTTAATTTGGAAACCTAGATAATTTTTAAAAAATTGATGATTCAAAGCCACATCCTATTTTATATAATAATAAAGTGATTAGGAATAAAAATAATCAAAGTCGTAGGAGATATTAATATTATATCTGTTAATTAAAAAATTTGTATGTAAAAAATAATAATATTAATTAAAATTATATTTTCACCATGATGATATCATAAAAATCATTTAGATCTTTTATTTTATTTACAATTCAAATTAAAAATTAAAGAAATTTATATATACATTTTAGCAGCAATGTATTTTTTTCGACAATGTGTTATTTTTTAACTTTATATCATTTTAAGAGCGCGTTTTTTTGAATTTAAATATTTGATTTTATTGGAAATGTATTTCATAATGTTTGAAATACTTACCCCATGAATTCCAGATAATATGCCATGAACATTTGAGCTTAATATAATTTATATTTGGTTTTCTATGTATTTTTTACATAAATTATAAATGACTCAAAGATTAACGACGAAATTGTTTGGAATTAAGAAGATAGGTATTCTAAGCATGCTGGAAAGCCATCTGGTTTAAGGCCATCATCTAATGATAAATTAGCAGGCTCCAGGATGTTTGATATTCGGGCCCTGGTAACAGAACGACTAATAACTGAATTAATTGCTGCGTGTCTTGCATGTCTGCCTTGACTATATACAATTAAGACCATGTCTCTCTTTGGAATCAACTAATATTTTACATTTTATGCATGTATGTGGTTGAATTATGTTGCAATAAATTTGATGGCCTATGGCAACTCTTAATTGTTCATCTGATAAGAGGTTACTTAGGTTTAGTGTTGTTAATTTGCTTGGTCGTAAAATTTACGACCCTTTTATGTGCTCAGGCCGACCCGGGTCAAACCCGGGGTTCAGACGCACCTAATAATTACACATGGGGCTCGGATGAATGTAAAGTAAAAAATATCTCATTTTCTAATCTTAAATTAAATCTTTAATTAAGCTTTTAATCTCATTTTCATAACATTTAAATATTTTTTTAAATTTGGGGACTTTCTTTTGATCAAAATGTTTTCGGATAAAATAAAAATATCAGTAAATATTCAAATAATAAAGTAACCCATGACCGGAAAAAAATAAATAAAAAAATTGTAATTAAATATAAACAAAAAATAAAAATTAAACGTCATTCATGCATGTATAAATAATAAAAAGAAATGTGTGATGAAATGGCCAAGTCTCATGATGCGTTTTTTTAATATTTTTGAAGTTGTTTATTAATTATTATTTTTTAGTTATTTACTATACAAAATTAAAATTATATTTATTTTTATATTTAATAATTTTTTTTTCATCATAGAAAGCTTTAAAAAAATTAAATACAAATACAAACAATATAAAATTATAATACATATTGTAATCGCAGTCATATAAAAAACAGTAAAGTAGCGCGCTACTTAGCGCGCTATCTTTTTTGGTAGCTATAGTTAATAGCCGCTACTTTTTTTAAAATTATTTAATTTTTTAGGGCGCTACTTTTTTTAAAAGTAGCTAAGTAGCGCGCTACTTCGCTACTTTTAAAAAATATAATGAATGTAAGTATAAACATGAAAATTTAAATATAATATCATAATTAATTATGATTTTTATAATTTATTATTTAATTTTGAAATTTAAATATATTTTCAATTTTTAATTTATATTTTCAATCTGTGTTAATAATCTAAAATGGCATCGCCCATGGATATCCAAATCCTTGAAAGTGATTCAGACATGGAAGATTCAATTAAAGAAAATGTACTTAATAGCTCTAATAACGATTTCCCATTCCCTAGATTTGAAAAATTTTTTAAAATAAATATTAAAATAAAATCTGGATTCAAATTCCTGTGCTTAAAATGTAAAAAAAATATATCATCAAATCAATCGAGTAGCTATAACCTGAAGAAACACCTAAAGGTAAATTGTTATTTTTACATTATAATATTATTTATTTTATTAGACTGTTCACGCCAATTGCTATAAGGAAATAGAGAAACATATAAAAAATTTTGGTATAGGAGAATCTTCATTCAAAAAGACAAATACTATCCAAACCAAATTAACTGATAATAAACATGCCAATATTTCACAAAAATTGGCTGATAAAGTAATTGTTGATTTTATTATTGACACAGTTCAGCCATTGTCCTTGGTTGATAATCCATCATTTACTATGATGATTAAAACTTTATCCCCTGGCACAACAGTTTTATGTCACCAGACACTTATGAATAAAATAGCCGACAACTTCAAAGTGATGAAAGATGCTCTAATAGTAGAGTTATCAGATATATCTTATGTATGTATCACGGCAGATAGTTGGACACATAACAGAAGGTAAAAATTTATTTATATTTATAAATTGATCTGATTAAATATTTTTAGAGCTTATTTGGGAATCACAGGCCATTGGTTAGACCCTAGGACTTTAAAAAGAAGATCTGTAGCCTTAGCCCTTAAAAGGATTATAGGATGCCAGACATATGACGTACTTGCAAATAAAATTATTGACATCCACAAGTCTTTTAGGATTCATAATAAAGTTTGCAAGATGGTTACTGATAATGGGTCTAACTACCTGAAGACATTTAGGTTATATCACAAATTTATAATATTTATTTTAAGTTATGATTTTTTGGGCAGTAAATTAATCAGAATGGAATGGTTATTATTTAATCTATAAAATATTTAGTATTTTAATATTTCACATTATTTATAGAATTTTTATTAACTAAATACACACATATTTTAGTAATATTATGATTATCATAATTTATATCAAATTATAAATAAAATTAGTGAAATTAACTAATAAAATATAAAACAGAGGTGGATTATTTCATTAATTTTTATTGTACAGTGTCATTGAGCTAATCTAACATTTAATAAGATATGGTTATTGAATATTTTATGGATGATTAGATTTTTACTATATTTATTTCTTATTGATTAATTGCCATCAATTTATATACAGTACAGGGAATTCATTCAATGTATTCATTTGATAAAATATTTTTGCTTAGTTACATTATAATTCCTGAGGTTCAAAATTTAGAATACTAAGAAATGATTTTTCCATTCCATTTTTGATAAATATTAGTAGACATTTCCATTAAAACTGGATGAATAATTTAATTTGTTCTATTAAATATGAATATAGAATATTTGGTGAGGATAATGCTGAAGATGAGATACAGAATGATAGTCAACATGTATTGGAAGAGGAGAAAATAGGTGTTGATGCCAATGATATTAATGAGATCTTAGAAGAAGGTTTAAATTATTTTATAATACATGTTAATCTAATCAATATTCTATAGGATCTTCAACTAACTCCACAATGTTACCCAGCCATCAGAGATGCTCCTGTCATAATTTAAATTTGATAGCAACAGTAGATGCTGAAGGAGCTTTAAATGATGAAGATTTTAAAAGGGTATCAAGATCGACATTTTATAAATGTCAAACTTTATGGAATAAGCAGAAAATCTCCTATAAGTTCTGACATGTTTAAAAAAAAATTAGGGAGGTATTTATTAACTCCTAATCGTACAAGATGGAATTCTATATACCAAGCAATAAAACTAATCGTCTTTTTTTCTGGAGGAAGGAAGATTAGAGATTAATTATCTCTGTGATCTTGTTGAAATTGAATATATTAACGATAAAGAGCATACTTTTATAAAAGAGTATACAGAAGTAATTCTAATTAATAATGATTCATTTCCATATCATTTTAATTTTTTAGGTTATGCAATATGTTGCTGTTTCCCTTGAAATTTTGGAAGGTGAGGATAATATGGAGATGGGGTATTATGTTCCCACTTTAAGTATTCTAAATACCAAATTAAAGAGATTGAATAATCTAATCTTATGCCAGCCCCTAGTAGACTCTCTGTTAAAAAGCATTGAGAGAAGTTAAATAAAATTTATATTGTTTTGATTTTGACTGAAGATTTATTCTAACTTAATGTTTAAGGCTAAAAAATTTATAAAATTTTATGATTAAGATATATTTAAAATACTCTATTTTTGTAACTTTTAGATTCCCAAACTTATACAATGATGACAATGTCTTAGCGGCAATGGTTCATCCAATTAAACTAAACTAGCCATATATAAATTCCGATGATGTCAAACATCAACGCGATAGGCTAATGGCGAAGCTGAATAATCTTACTCCAACAAACATAGATTGCCGAGTATCTACCACGAAGACATCCTCAAATAATTTTTTTGAAATTAAAGATGATTTAATAGAAAATCCAATTGATCTTTTTTTTCAATCAAAAAATATTGAAATGAATATTTTTGATAATTTTTCATATATTAAAAATTTATATATAAAATTAAATACCCCCTTGCCCTCAAGTGCTAGTGTCGATAGATTATTTAGTAAAGCAAAGCTTATACTTTCTGATCGTCGCTCTAGACTTGGGGATGATAATATTGAAATGATATTATTATTAAAATGCAACAAATTAAAATATTTATTTATATTGCTTATTTTTTTATAATCTAAACTAACTATATTTTTATATTTATAAATGTTGATTTTTATATATTATTTATTATACATTTACATTATAAGCAAAAAAAAATAAAAAAAATTTGTTTCATTTGTTTCTAAATTTTTTTTTATAAAAAGTAGCTTAAAGGTAGCTAAAGCTACTTTTTTTGACAAATAGCTATAGCGGTAGCGCGCTACTTTAAAAAAATAGCGTAACAACTCTGATAAAAAATAAATCTAAAACAAACTATTAATATAAAATATGGAATTTTAAAATACTTTTAATTTTATATTATAGCTTAGAATTTTATTAAAATAATTATTTATTAAAATATTAAAAATATTTAATTAAAAATAGTACCATACATAAGATTAAATATAATTTATATTACACATGTATGCATTTTTGTTTATTTTTTTTATATTTAAAATTTTTTTAAAAAAAATGTTATATAGATATTAGAATTTTTTTTCTTCTTTTTTTTAAATTTATAAATTTAAATATAATAAATCTTATATTTTTTGAGTTTTAAAATAATTTCCGGTATTAAAAAAAGAGGATTCAAAACAACAGACCGGTCATGAAACCTTCTTTAAATGTGTCAGTATGTCTAGATTTAATAGTATTATTATCCCCCACATAGTTCAGAATTAATTACGAACTATCTGGCCGGATTTGTTTAATTTCATCGTTATTTTTTAAACAGTATATTTATTTTTTTCTTCTAATTTTATATATGTATCTTGGACAAGTACATTTAATATTTTTAAAATATTTTAATAGTTATTAACCATTAATGACTAAATAAAATAATTACCTAAAAGAGGGACTATAAAACTAAATATATATTAAATACAGATGAGGAGGAGTGCTAAAGAAGATTCACCCGTCATCTCATAGTTTTGATTATTATCACACGTCTGTCTTTCTTATATAAAATCAAAATATGGTTGAGATATAATTTCAAAATATTCAGATACCTGAAAAATATTTTATTATTTGAGAATATTATTTAATCAAAAAAATGTAAATAAGAATTTTTTTTGAGTATTCAATCAAAAAATGTTAATAAGAATTTATTTGATCAAATAAAATGAGGAATAAGATAATGAAGTAAATAATTGGTATTCACGAATCAAGTTGGAAGTCTTAAGTAATAAAATGTAAATAACAGAACAAATATCTTAAATAATAATAATAAATTTAAAATATTCGTCCTCTTGTCGACTCAAGTTCATGACTCGAGTCAACTTGAGTTCATGACCCAGTTTATAACTCAAGTCAGTTTTGGTCAATTTTTTGACCCAAAACTTGGCTCAGTTTTCAACTCAGTCGACTCGACTCAGTCGATTAACAATATATGTAAAGAATAAAATAACGTTAAAACATTTTAAAATTGCTTTGTCCATTATTTACAGTACTTCAATTTTTTATGGACAAACTTTCCCCGGTCTCCCCTATTATATATTTATAGTTAATGACCAAGAATATTAATATTGGGGTGAAGTAAGAGTACAAATATATATTTTTTTTTTGAAAAGCTTTATTTTCTTCCGAAATCTAAAAAAATGGAAATTAATTTTCATCAAATTTATAATTATAACTGTTTCCAACGAGAATGTTGGCGGAAATTTTTTTAAATATATCTAAATTAATCAATTTTATTTGAATTTTTTATGTAAAATAAAAATATTTGATTATATTTATAGAAACTAGAGACACCAAGCCATGCGTTAATATCACATCTATATTTTAGATTTTAAAATCATGTATAAATATATAATCTAATTTTTTTATCACATAAGAAAATAGGGGGATTTTATTAAAAAAATTAGCTACAGATACTTAATTTTATTATAAAAAAAACCGAAAATAAAAATTATATTTTAATTAAATATATTATTAAATATTCATCCTCTAGTTGATGAAATTAAATAAATCCAGTCAGAAAATTCATATCTAATTCTGAACTAAGATCAAGATGGTATTAGAAATAAGCTCTCAGCTAACCTATATAATAATTCATTTTATTTATTTCCAAGCCCTAAGTAAGTGGTCCCGATTAAAATATTTTTAACCATAAGCTAAGTTGCTTGCAAGATTTTACTATTTAAGTTCGATATTATTGATAAATATTTTTTATTTAAAATATTTGAAACAACATTATTTATTTGGACCCCGGATCTGTGCTTGGGGTTCGAGTTAAATCTGGCTTATTTCTTATATAAATATTGCTAATGCAGATAGCAGTTATTTTATTAAACCCAAACCCCGGGTGTGGGTTTTACACAACCAACCAATTAACAATATACCCATATCGATATTTTGTATTGATAAAAATATTCCTGACTCCCCAAGACCTAGACCCGCCCTCTATGAGTGATTATTATTATTACAATAAAAAATTATTTTCCTTTTATTTGAAACCCATATCAAAAAATATAATTTTTTACACCCCCCCCCCCCCCCCCCCATCCACCCGCCCCCAAAACCAAGTCATACCCATCATAACAAAATTGAATACTTTTAATCGAAATATATTTAAATTAGATTTTATTTGATACCTCGATATATTGTGTTGATAAAAATATTCCTGACCCCCCAAGACCTAAACCCGCCCTCTATGAGTGATTATTATTATTATTACAATAAAAAAATATTTTCCTTTTATTTGAAACCCATATCAAAAAATATTATTTTTTACACCCCCCCCCCCCCCCCCCCCCCCCCCCATCCACCCGCCTCCCAAACCAAGTCATACCCATCATAACAAAAATGAATACTTTTAATCGAAATATATTTAAAATTAGATTTTATTTGATACCCATATCGATATTTTGTGTTGATAAAAATATTCCTGACCCCCCAAGACCTTCGCCTCGCCTTCTATCAGTGTTATTACAATAAAAAAATTTTTATTTATCAACATGTTTATTAAATCGTCACAACACAACAACACGACCCGGGTCTGAACCCCGGGTCTATACTCGGGGTTAGTTCTCAGAGCTGGTTTGGTCGATTTTTTAGACCCAAACCCCGGGTCTGGATTTTCACAACCAACCAATTAACAACACTAGGTTATGCTAATGCTTTCAGCCATTCAGAACCACTTGTACAGTCAGCATTTTGTAATAGTTGAATATTCTCTAAATGGGGGTTTGATGAGAGTTTAAAAAAATTTTAATTAATGGTTTGAATATTGATTGATGTGCTAAAACTGTGAGTACAGTTTCAGGTAGAGCTAAAGATATCCAAGCTGTCAAGGCCAAATTTAAAAGATTATCTTTAGGAGTGATAAAAGAAGATATCATGGCGTTGTTCATCAACCGCGATCCAAAAATGAAGAGAGATATGTAAGATTTAATGGATATAAATCTAAACCACCCATTTTCGAGGGTAATTGTAAAAAGCCCCAGTTAAAATCTTCCAATTTGATATTTATATATTTTCTAATATAATTCTAAAAATTTCATAAAAACGATTAATAATTTCATTATTTAAAAAAAAGGAAGAATATCTAAAAATATGTAAAATATTTGATAAAAATATATATTTTTTAAAAGAAAAAAACTTTGGTGTGAAAGGTATTTCTTTTAAAATATTTTCAAGTTCTAATAAGCCTTTGAAAATTTTCCATGAACACCTCACAGTTGGAAAAGTTCTTAAAGGTGAACCAAGAAGATTAAATTCACTTTCTTTAAGGATTTTAAACCCCTGGACTTCGAGAGTATTTGAATTTAAAAAGCATATTTCAGATTTAGCTTTATTTAGAGTAAGGTCTATGTTTAGAGAATTATGCTCTATAAAATCTATCGCTGCTAAAAAAAATTTAGAAGGTCCGCAGATGGTGCCATCATCCAGATACCAAATGTTTATGTCTAGGATAAAAAAATGTTTTTAAGGAATAAATTAGGTTATGTATGCTTAAACTAAATATGAGAGGGCCCAAAGGGTCTCCTTGTTTACTCTCATCAGATGGAATTGTATATTCCCC